TTTCTTTTGCGCACAAAAAGTATTCTCGTAGCTTCGTAAAATTACGGTTGAACCCCTGATGTCACATGGATTTTTTTACAGATCTCCTTGCTACGTCTCTGGACCTTGATCGTAGTAATTACATTGCTGTCTATGGGAGAGTCAGAGAGCTCTCAGAATGCATCAAAAATATCTTCATTTGTGTTCTGAAGATGAACGGAGGTCTTACGGGTTTGGAACGACACGAGGGTGAGTAATTGATGACAGAATTTTCATTTTGGGGTGGAGTAACCCTTTAATGCATTTTAACTATAACCGTTGTTTTCGGCTAACATTATTATTGCTTTCTTCAGTGAAAAAGTAATCTCGGCTGAAACAGGAGAGAAATATGCACAGATCAAGCACCATTTACAAGTGAAAACAGTCTAAATCAGTTCTAATCAAATACATTGGTGGGTTTCGAGGTTTCGATATTATGAAATATGGACTTGTATTTTGCATAGAAGTGATGGTTTAAAGTCAAAACATTTTAATGGTGGATTTGTTTCTTACAAACACACAGCTTTTCGCTTCACAGTGTGTTAATTGACAGACTTGAGTTGTGTGGATTACTTGTGGATTATTGTGATGTTTTTATCAGCTGTTTGGACTCTCATTCTGACGGCACCCATTCACTGCAGAGGATCTATTGGTGAGCAAGTGATGTAATGATAAATTCCTCCAAATCTGTTCTGATGAAGAAACAAACTCATCTACATCCTTAAGGGATGAAAATTGTCATTTTTGGTTGAACTATTCCTTTAAATGGATAGGTTCACCTCAAAATAAACACTGCACTTTTCTAATGCTTTTCTACCATTTTTGGAGTTTGACAACCCTGGTCGTCATTTATTTTTATTGTACAGATTACAACACTCAGGACATTTTGGCAAATGTTGTGTTCTGTAGACGAAAGAAAGTCATACACGTTTGGATCAACATACGGGTGAGTAAATGATGACAGAATTGGTATTTTAATTAACATTTGTGACCATACAGTCTCTTTGGAAGAAATAAGATTGTTAGCTAAAGTGTTAGACACACTAATGTTGTGTAAAGTGATTTGGCAGCTCTGCATACCATATTGACAAAGGCAGAGATGAAGACGAGGATGATGGTGAAAACTCCCACCAGTGTGCTGTTGGTGCGAGACTGAACAATCTTCTTAGACACAGTCTGCATAGCAGCAGGGAAGAGCTGCAAGACAGAGCCAAAGAAAGGCTAATTGTACACTTTTGTACAAAAGAAAATGCAAAAGAATGAAAAACAGCATAATTAGATGTAGCTTACCTTCACACAGGAGTAAATGGCACAGATGAAGAGGATGTTGGCAAGAATGATGAAGATACTGATGTATATTCCCAGCATGACCAGAGTACTGCAAAACACACAGGAGGTTTCAGATTCATGTTAAGTGTGTGAGTGTGTGTATCTGAATGTACTTAGCCATATATTAGGGACAAATTTGTACAGAAGTGAGCTAAACCTGACAAAATCTTCTTTTGGGGATGCCTCATTTAAAAAAAAAAAACAATATAAAAAAGAACGTGTTTTTTTTTTCTTTCAATTGTAATAATGCAGAAAGTTTTCTGTTAGGATTAAGGTGTAGTTGCATTAGCTATTAGCATTGTACAAACAGGTCCAGTGTCCATTGTCAATAGCATATGCATGAAGCAATGCTCACAGTAAAGTCACTTCATAACCAAGCAGCTTTCTGTTGGTCAGCAAGGCAAATACGTGAATCTAGAACACAAGCAAAATCTGTGAGGGGAACTTTTTTGCCCTCACACGAAACGATTGGAATGACTGGATTTCACTCACAGAATTTAGCAGAGAAACAGTAAACACGACCGCCATCTTTAGAGTGTGGGTTAGGGTTATGTTATAGTATTTATAACTAGCTGTAAACAAAAACAAAACAAGGCTAAAGAATGTCCCCATTTAAAGGGACAGTTCACCCAAAAATGAAAATTCTGTCAAAATTTACACTCAAGTTACACGTGAGTTTCTTTCTTCTGTTGAACGCAAAAGACGATATTTTGAAGAATGTTGGTGACCAAACAGTTGATAGTCACAGACTTCAATAGCATGGAAAAATATACACAATGGAAATGAATGGCTACCGTCAACTCGTACAGATTTGGAACAACTTGAGGGTGAGTAAATGATGACCGAATTTTCATTTTGAAGTGAACTATCCCTTTAAGTAAACAAGTGAGTGTGTGTGTAAGTGTGTTTGTGTGTGTTTATCACTCACTGAGGGAATACAATGATCTGGATAAAAGAGATGAAACAGAAGACCAGCAGCGAACAGGCCACATAACCGCCGAAACGATCATCTACTTTCTTAGCATACTAGAAACAAGACCAAAATATAAAATATCATTAAAATATGTTGATTTACTAATCTGTGCCAAATATGAATGCTGCGTGAGTTATTGTTGATTGCTAATGACCAACAACCACCCAGAAGATGCTGTTAACCTAATGACATGTTAAAAATTGCTCTAAACAACTCAATCTACTTTTCTTCTTCTTAAATACCAAACAGGAAATTGGAGGACATTTGATCTCTCATGATCTCATCCATCCTGTTAGTCTGTTAGACGATCGGCACTACTAAATTAAACTGGAAAGGGTGGGGAGATCTGGACGGGAAGCTGGAACTCAGCCAGTGTCTTCGAGTCTGACCTTCTTCTCCAGGCTGGAGGTTTGGAAGGTGAGGAGGAACTTCTTCACGTGGTCTTTGCGGAGCTGGTCGATACTGCGAGCGTCTATGGCACGGCCCAAAAACTCATCCACCTCGTCCTCGGGGTTCAGCGCCTCCTGAGCACCACGGCTGCGTTTGTGAGCAGAAGAACAGTTAGAAAAGCACATTTTTATTTGTACCTTTTATATTCCTTTTTCCCCCCACTGCATTTACTCTCTTAAAGCTAAGAAAAAACACTCACTTGTCTTTGCTGGATGATTCATTTATGCCCTGAGTGAAGAGAAGAAACAAATGAAGATTAGAAAGATCTGAGAGTAATGTAGGAGGACTGAAAGAAGCATGTAAAGGTAGAAATTGGCTGAAGGAAGAGGAGAGAGAGGTCAGGCGAGTGTCACAGGGAGTGGGTGACAGATTGACCGACAGGTCATGTGGGGTCTCACCATCTGTCTGAAGACTTTGGAGTCTTTAGTCCTGGAGAAGGATCTGTCAGGCACCCATCGCGGTACCAGACCCTCGTTAGAGTTCGTCCGCGTGCGCTGCATCTTAGCCATCATGGCCTTCTCCTCTTTCTGAAACAGTCAAGGGCAAAGGAAAAGTTTTGTGCTCAAGGATCTTGAATAAAAGAGAAGCATTAAAATTAGGGATGCATTGATATTAAATGATTTTCATGTTCTGTTATGCCATATAACTGATAAATGGCAGATAACCAATAAACAGCCAATATTAAAATTATATTTTCAGGCTAAAACCCATAAGAAAAATGTAAGAATAAAGACTAAAAAAGGCTAAAGAGTAAATAAAAACAGTAAAATGATTTTCATATGCTAGATAACCGATAATTTAACAAATAACAGCCAATATTTAAATTAGACTTTTTAGTCTAAATAGATTAAAAAGAGACTAAATAAGGCTAAATACTAAATAAAAACATTTTAAAATGGTTTTTATGTTATGCCAGATAATTATTAAATGTCTAAATTGATTTAAAAAAAAGTTATTGAAAAAACGACAAAGACTAAAATCCATTGTTTTAAATGTTACAAATGAATTTATGCATCACAAATCATTATAATGTACAGTACTGTATAAAAATATATCAATTTAATTTGAGATTTTGTGATAAATTACACTTTTTAGAGCAGCGCAGTAATTTTGACTTGGCATCATCTCATTATGTTTAAAGGAGTCATATGATGTTGCTAAAAATTATGTTGTGTATTTGGTGTAATGCAATGTGTTTATGCGGTTTAAGGTTCAAAAAACACATTATTTTCCACATACTGTACATTATTGTTTCTCCTCTATGCCCCGCCTTTCTGAAACGCGTAAATTTTTACAAAGCTCATCGGTCTGAAAAGCGAGGTGTGCTCTGATTGGCCAGCTATCCAGTGCGTTGTGATTGGCCGAATACCTCAAGCGTGTGACGGAAATGTTACGCCCCTTACCATACTGTGATGCCGCCTCCCGGCACGACAAGACAAAAACAATAAAACCCATTACAAACGAGGCATTTGTTGCATCCAGTGGGGGCATAATTACTGAGTATAATGACTTATACTGTCTTTTTACGCGTTGCGTAAACATAAAACCATGTCTGGAGAAACGACAAACAACAAGCGCTACTCTACCGTTTTAGGTAGGCGTGGTTAACTCTTAACTTTTATAAAGAATATGTCTTTGGATTTGAGAATTTAGTCTTTGCAACTTTACAGAACTTCTTTATGCACCAAGAGCTTGTAACACTTCAAAGAGAAAGGAAAAATTGAAATCGCATCATATGACCCTTTTAATGAAATTTTCTACATAGCAAAAATCGTTTTCTTGACCAGTCTTGTTTTAAAAATGATACATAAAATATATATATATATATATAGAGAGAGAGAGAGAGAGAGAGAGCACAGTTATAGTTATAAAAATGTTGTAACATGAACTCAGCACAAAATGACGTGTCTAACCCGCTTTTGACTGCAGCCCAACACTAGGAAGGTCTCAATGCTGTTCTCTTTCAGGTAGGCGTTTCTCTCCCCTCCAAAACCTGGCTCCACCTCATAGTCTCCATTCAGGTACTGCAGAGTAGCTTTAGTGATATGGATCCTCCTGAGGAAAAATTTAGTTTCAGTAATGATGTTGCATGAATTTTATGGTTACTAAACAGTCTCTCCAGTGTTATGTATAGCTATGTGTACATGTCTGACTCTCACCCGGCTTTGCCTCCAGCCTCCATGTGGTTGGCCAGCGTTACGTCGTTGGACCACACGTCGAATTGCCACTTTCTCAATCCAAGAACTCCACAGTGCACACGACCACTGTGGATCCCGACCCGCATGTTTACATTGACCCCTGTGACCTCTCGCACCAATCTGCGACACAAACATAAACATGTTATTAATAAATCACATGCTGCAATCAGTGTTATTTTAGTATTATTTTTTACATACTAGTATTCTATATTAGCTTTTATTAGCAGTTTTTGATTTTACATTTAGTTTCTTTTAGTAATTGAATGTGCTTTTGTAATTTTTATTAGTTTTATTTTGTTTAGTTTTCATTTTTAGTTTTGAAATTTTAGTACATTAACTTTTTAAACTTTTTTTAGTTATTTCAGTTGTTACATTATTTTAGTTAGTTGTTCATTTTTAATTTTTCTAATCGTGGTACTCTCCAGAAAGGAGGAGAAGAATTGTTGAATAAAGTCGTTGTTTTTTTTTTCTTTGCACACACAAAGTATTCTCGTAGCTTCATAAAATTAAAACCACTGATGTCACAGACTATTATAATGATGTCCTTGCTACGGTTCTGTGCCTTGATCGTGGTAGTTCCCTTGCTGTCTATGGAGGGTCTGAGAGCTCTCGGATTTCATCCAAAATATCTTATTTTTTGTTCTGATGAACGAAGGTCTTACGGGTTTGGAACGACAAGAGGGTGAATAATTAATGACAGAATTTTCATTTTTTGGTGAACTATCCCTTTAAGATTTTCATCTAATATTAGTATTTAATTTTTGCTTTATTTTAATTAACAAAAATTTAAATAATAACAATAACACTGGCTCCAACATATACAGTGGTGTGAAAAAGTGTTGGCCCCCTCTCCTGCGCACACACACAAAAGGGAACAGAAGTTAAAGCTGAGGAGATGGCAGCTTCACGCTGAGGTGTAAAAAGAGGGTAGTCATTCTGCTTAGAGTGTGATACAGACAGAGTGTGTGATTTTTGTGCTGACACCATGTGTAAACGAGTGTCAATACTGATAAAAATTCATCAGACCGAAATATTTGACAATGGATTTGACAATGGACGTACATTACAGCGAGTAACAGGTCTTAAAAGAAGTCAAAGCAGAGCAACATGATGTAGTGGTGTTTATTCCTGAATGAATAAGAGTTTTTAAACTATTCAGTGAATGATTCAATGGTTGGAGAAATGCTACGACCATAACGTCACACCACACAAGTGTGAGTAACTGTTTTCATTATGTGATCACCATTGCTTTGTCTCTTCTAAGAAGAGACAGATTGTAAGAACTTCTAAGACTTCTAAGAACAGAGTGTTCTGATGAGGGGGGTTAAAAACAGAAAATAGCCTATTGTATAGTTTTGTTCTTTTTTTTGTAAAAATCTTGATAACATTATAAGGGGACATCAAAAAAGAGTAAAAAAATAATAAAAAAGGCAGTTCATGACCCCTTTAATGGGTCACACACTATGTGCAGTGTGAGCACCTCATATTCATTCTAGTCAATTTTACTCTGACTGTCATATAAGATTAGTTAATTATAATAAAATTTTAGTTGACTAGAAAGTACAAAATCAAACCAATTAAGTATTTTTTTATATTTACACTACCGTTCAAACGTTTGAGCTCAGTAAAAAATTTGTAATGTTTTTGAAAGAAATCCAAAGTTGCATTTATTTGATTAAAATACAGTAAAACAGTCATATTGAATTATTATTTCAAAATCTGAATATATTTTATGTATTTATTCCTGTGATGTACAGTAAATCTGAATTTTCAGCATCAGTACTCCAGTCTTCAGTGTCACATGATCCTTCAGAAATCACTCTAATATGCTGATTTGCTGCTCAAGAAACATTTTGTATTATTATCAATGATGAAAACAGTTGTGCTGCCTAATATTTTTGTGGAAACCATAATACTTTTTTAGGATTCTCTGATGAATAGAAAGAATCCTGATATATTTACTAAAGTCATGTTCACAAAACAGTACTGTATTTCATGTTTTATATATATTGAATCATGTTGTATTTGAATGAAAACGTGAAAACTGTATTCGTAACGCTGAACTAATATCATGCAATCTCAACAATTTATTTAACACAGACTTCATGTTGTCACCATAGTAAACAGACAATGCTGCAACAATAATCCAGCATCTTTAGGCATTTGTTAATAGATGTGCTCACCGAAGCCAGCTTGTCAAAGCGGGCAAACAGCTCGTTTAGAGTCATGACCAGCTCCTGAGCAGTGCACTGCGATGCCAGACTAGTGAAACCCTCGATGTCTGCAAACAAAATACTGACAAAGACGCACAGAGAGAGAGAGAGAGAGAGAGAGAGAGAGAAATTTAAACTGTATGAATTGTTGCTTTGTCTTTTATTATATTCATCAATCTGTTGTTAACTAAAATGTAGTGCTGTCAAACGATTAATCACATTCGAAATAAGTTTTTATTTACATAATAAATCTGTGTATATTTATTATGTATATATAAATACACACACATACAGTATACATTTTGAAAATATTTACATGTACTTACATGTATATATTTATATTCATATAATTTATATTATATATAAATATATTTACTATACAAGCGTAACATATTTTTCTTAAATATATACATGCATGGGTGTGTATTTATATATGCATAATAAATATACACAGTACACACACACATACTGTGTAAACAAAAACTTTTATTTTGGTTGCGATTAATCGCGATTACTCATTTGACAGCACTACTAAAATGTAATGCCAATAAAACAGATTAAAAAAAAGCTTTAATTTTAATGTTTGGAATCACAGAGGTCAATACCATAACAACTAGGTAGAAAAGTATACAGTATGAATGTGTGAATCCCTTGAGCTGGGGGGAAATTCACTCTGAGGCTGTGTGAGAGCAGGCGCTGTGGAGCGCTTTAATTGAATCGTGGCTTAATTTCAGTATCTTCTGGGGTTAGCGCTAGTCTAGTGACTGATAATTAACTATTCCATCTCTCGCCATAATTAGCTGACCACATTTCAAAAGAAAAGCCCCACTGCTCCTATTACGAGCTCCCAGAGCTAAAGCAAAGAAGAAAAGAGTGAAAGAGGCAGGAGAGATCAATGTAAAGAGTGAAAAATAAACAAAGAAAGGGCCACACGGCCACAGGAGATGATAAAAAGCAGGTGAACTAAAAGCTAAAAGCTAATGCTGATAGTCAAAGCGCCCTGTTGAAAAAACAGCATATGCTGGTTAGGCCCCAGCGTCAAAACATACCTAACCAGCATATGCTGGTTTTTTCAACAGGGCGGCAGGTAGTAAACATGCTTCAAAAAAAAAAGAGAACAATTATTGAGACAAATTATTATTCCATATGAAGTTTACAGATGTCAAAACTGACTATTTACTTTCTAAATAAAATAATGGTCAGTCAATTAAGAATAATTCAGAATCTCACATGAAAATATAGTGAAACTTGTCTTTTGTGCTTATGTAATTAAGGCCATGCGGGTGGGAAAAATACTATAAAGCCAATAATATCCTAAATATTCTTAGATCACTTGATTAGATGGCTTTTCATGATCTAATCCAGTCATAGTTAATGTGGCAGAGTTTGACGCATAACAGCAATGCTCACCTGACATTGTCGTGCTTCTGGATGTAGATCTTGTGAAACATCATGTCTTCTTTTTTAGCATTGATGTCAGCCTTCATTTCCATGGCAACATGTCTTGGCAAAACAGACAGCAACAGGCGTTCCTGAAAATTGTAGAGAGGAGAGAGGGAATGTGTGTGAGTGAGAAAGAAAGAAAGATTAGCATGCAATTCTTCTCACTGAAGATCAAACACCCTATCTTTATGTAGTTGTTCTTTGTTAAACGTCAGCATCCCAGTGCATATATTCTGTTGGCTTGTCCACTGAGAAGTGTTTATTTTATTACATCTCTATTAGATTTATATACATAGAATAGAATGGCATTTAACAAAATGAACTGAACCTTCAATAGATTCAGAGCAGATGCCATATTTTGTGAAAGAACCATCTGTTTGGTGTACACCTTGGTGTCAAACATTCAGCTGACAATGTGTTGAAAATATGCACAGTAGCCATTTAATTTTCATAGAATGGGATGATAATTTTATAGAATTTCATTTAATCTCATGAGACAAGATTTTATGAAATTCAACAGAGTTCTCTGAGTGTCAAAGGACACTTTCCAATGTCAAAGGAATTTTATGGAATTTTGTTGATTGGGAATCACAAAATTTTCATATTTAATTTAGTTATGACTGTCACGATATCAGATGTTAACTACATGTTTATCATGGCCAACATAATTAATGATAACAGCATAATTGCAATATCTATAGAAATAAAAATAACAAACTAACAATTAGCAATACATGTGTTACAGTACATATTAATCTTTATTAAAGTTAGTTAATAAAAAAACTGTCCATTGTTAGTTCATGTTACCTCAGGTTCATTAAATAATATCAGCAGATACAACTTTTGATTTTAATGTATTAGTAAATGATAAAAGTAACATTAACAAAGATTAATAAGGAGATCCACAGTCCTTCAGTCCACTGAAGGAGAATAGAGTTGAACCCAAGAGCAGTTTATTTCAAAAAGCGTCAAACAAATAGAAAATAAACAGAACCAAATGATGACTTGAACTTCACTTCAACAAACTTGACCAGAAACATAACAGAGCTCACAAACTGTGGGTTACACTGATCAGAGCTCAACAAGAGACAAGGGAAACGTGAGGGCTATAAATACACACGGGCTGATGAGTTAACAAGGAACACCTGAAAACAATTAAGACAGGAAACAGGAACATGAGGAACAGGAAACAGAAAGACCTATGCTGTGTCCGAAATCGCCCCCTATACCCTCATTCACTATTCCCTACATTAGGTCACTAATTCAGATCACTAGAAGGAGTGAATGAAAACGAGTAGTGAATTCGGACACTGAGTGCACCGGAAGGAATGCCACTTTTGCATAGTTTGTGCTTGCTGTTTATTAATCATTTGAAACTATGCCGCTTTTGCATAGTTTGTGCTTGCTGTTTATTAATCATTCGAAACTAGGAAACTAGCAGCTCCAGTAGTAAGATTAAAGGATTTATCTTGAACTCTGTCACGGAAATTATGTATAAACCCTAAACAAACAATTAAATAATCAATTTACAATGAATTCATACTCGTGTTGTACATTATGCTGTACACCATGGATGAGCTCTTTGTAAAAATGAATGGATTGATTATTCAGCTGCGAGCGCCATCTTTTGGCAAGATGCGGGAATCCATTCGGCGCGTGACTCTCACGGTGCATTATGGGCATTCTCTAGCCGTTGAGCGTGCACCAGTTGTACACTCGTTTTTGCAGTGCATTGTGGGATTGAATGAGTGCACTCGAGAACGTCCACTATGGTTTCGGACACCACTAAAAATGGCTGTTCCCTTAAATAGTGCCCTATTTAAGGGTATAGGGGGCGATTTCGGACACAGCCCTAGTCTGAGTCCCAATGTGCATACTATCCATCCTAAATTCTATGTGATATTAGTAATTTTCAATACTATTTAGGGCAGATAGGGTGGATAGTATGCACATTGGGACGCAGGGTAAGATTATGAATAAGACTAACCTTCAAAATAAAAGACATGATGACATCATAAAAGACATGAACTCAAAACATGAAAACATAAAGAAAACACAGACGAGACAGTAAGTGTAAAGGACTGTTCACACTAATAACAATAACTATAACCATAACTATACTGGCATCCACAACAACACAAAATATTGTTCATTTTATTATAAGTGTTCATGAGCTGGAAAAAGGGATAGCATTCCTCTATATATATATTATATTAGTGCTTTCAAAATTAGCATGCTAACATAGGCGATTCATTTTTCCAGTTTAACGACATTAAAAATGTTTAACGACATTAAAAATATTTAATGCCGTTAATGCAGGGGCGAAGCTAGGGTTACACTGTGCTCACAGAGCGTGCTCTTCAATTGCACGCACAAATACAGCAGCGTGCGCTGTAGCCTGTATCATTTCATATTAAAACTCTAATTAAACTACAAGCATGTGTGTCAGATCCATGGCACGTTCAGCAGCAGCTCTTAAAGTAATAGCAGCCAAATAACCTAATAACCCAGCTGCTGTGATGTCTGTAAATCAAAGAACAAAAGAGAGGAAATCAATAACTTTTGTAGCTTTAAGGATTCCTCTATATCTAATTGTTTGATAACTTTATTCAATTTCTGTATATTTCCTAGTTGCTGAAGGGCACAGGTAAATATGACATTTATTATAATGGGTTTATGTGAAGATTGTTATAAGTTCACTTAAATTAGAAGTTATTTTTTAAAGTCTAATAAATGTTAAACTTGATAGCTCTCAATTATACTGTAATGTTGAATGCAATAGCCAATGGTTAAATATTAGGAAAAAAAGAACAATTTCCTAGAGACATCAGTAGTATTGGTATCAGTCATAAAAAATATTTATGTTGTTTCTACATCAATTTGAAGATTGAATGTGAAACTATTGCAATATAAGAGTATATTAAAAAACTTTAATGATTGATCGTGATTAATTAAAAAAAAAATGTGCAAAAAAAATTAAGATTTTTTTTTATTTATTTTTTTTACATTTTACTTTTATGATTTTGTGCAGCATTAGTAGCTACATACTGCATTGTTTTTTCTGTTCTGTTATTTTCAGCAATACTGTCACCTACTTTGTTGGAGTGTCAACCAGATGGATTATTTACAGTATTATCATGATATGTGCAGTATTAAAGGGATAGTTCACCCAAAAATGAAAATTTGATGTTTATCTGCTTACCCCCAGGGCATCCAAGATGTAGGTGACTTTGTTTCTTCAGTAGAACACAGACGAAGATTTTTAACACAAACCGTTGCAGTCTGTCAGACTTATAATGGAGGTGAATGGGAATCACGGCTTTGAGAGTAAAAAAAAACATACACAAACAAAACCAAATTAAACCCTGCGGCTCGTGACGATACATTGATGTGTAAAGACACAAAACGATCGGTCTGTGCAAGAAACTGAAAATGCACTTATAAGTCTGCGATCCGCTGTAAAGCAAGAAGAAGACACCTCACGTGCCTGCTGTTGAGAACACGCTCAGGAGGACGTGCCGCCGCTCAGGACAGTTCGAACAGTTCGGACATTGCGTGAATCAGAGGTAAAAAACGATATAAATACTGTTCAGTTTCTTGCATAGACCGATCGTTTCGTGTCTTTACACATCAACGTATCGTCACGAGCCGCAGGGTTTAATTTGGTTTTGTTTGTGTATGTTTTTTTTTACTCTCAAAGCCGTGATTCCCATTCACCTCCATTATAAGACTGACAGACTGCAACGGTTTGAGTTAAAAATCTTCGTTTGTGTTCTACTGAAGAAACAAAGTCACCTACATCTTGGATGCCCTGGGGGTAAGCAGATAAACATAAAATGTTCATTTTTGGGTGAACTATCCCTTTAACATGATATCAATATAAAAAAATTAAAAAATTGATCATCAATACAATATATTATGAGACCCCTACAATGGATGAATATATATTCAGAATTTGTTTAAACTTTTTTTTTTTGTTTAAAAAATTTAAATCTTTTGTAAAAATGATAAATGCCTTTACTGTCACTTTTGATAAATTTAATGCACCTTTGCTGAATAAAAGTACTAATTTCTAAAAAAAAAAAAAAAACTTTTGAACAGTAGTGTAGCTAGTAAACTGTACCAGTGAAGGTCATGGCCTCAGCGCTGAACTGACCTGCTGCTGGTTTTCTCTTTGCAGGTGCAGTCGGGCCTGGATGTAGCCTCGCGTCTCCTGAAAGGCTTGTCTCTGAGAGACCTCTGCTGGGTAGTGGGTGCAGATCCCAATGATGTTGGTGCACAGGAAGATCAGCACGTTTGCACTCAGCTGAGGGGAGAAGAAAAAAGAAAAGCAGACTCATTCAATGTCTCTCTAGTGATCAGTTGAACCTTTCAACAAAAAACGGCTTTAGCTCAGCACTCTGGAATCCTGGGACATCTGTTGTACTCTAGGGCTTTACTCAACTGCAGTATGGGAAAAAAAGCCAACCTCTGACCTGGAGAGGCTACTTCCTGTAGAGACGTTTACAACAGGGGAGCCAGAACAGAGCTAAAAATGGAGCCTGAAGCAGAGCCAACACTGTAACTTCCTTTGGGTGAATGAGAGGAGGGGTTGATGGGAGAGAGATGGGGGTTACTCCAGGTCACACGGTTCACACCATTACACTCGGCTGAAACACTGCACAATCACTATGAAACACTTGCTGGCCTATTTCCTAAAAAGCCTATCTTAAAATATATGCTAAATAATTACCAGAGTAGACATCATGTGGCTGTTGAGAAACCATTCGTGGCTATGCGAAGCTAATTACAATATTTGATTGAGAAAATATAACCAAAATAGTAGGTAAAAAGGTCAAATTAATATTGCCAAAGCAGATTCCATACAGTTCAGATATTTTATTGCATGAAGGGCTGGGCAATATGTTAAAAAAATTATATCTTGTTACTTTTTCAGCCATGTAACAATATTTTATTTGAAAAAAATGTCTTAATGTATACTGAAATGGCATACATTTTTTTTTTTTTGACGTAACCACCAAAATGTTAAATGTTTAACACAAGAAGTTAAATTTAAAAAGGTTTCAAAAATCTATAAATAGAATAAAATAAATGCAGCAAATCTACTTAAGATAAGATCTAATAATGATGGCTAATAATGAAGGCATGTTCAGAAATATTCAGGTCTGTGCATTTTTTGAAAAAAGTCTCATATTTACCAAGGCTGCATTTATTTGATTAAGAATACAGTAAAAACAGTAATGATGTGAAATATTATTACAAATGAAAATAACTGTTTTCTGAGTTGTTCAGTCCTTAACTTTGTATTTTAGGAGCGTGAGCGCAGTCTGAGGTCAATCGCCGCTAAATTAAGAGCTAATAATGGTGGAAAAGTAATCAGTCAATAAGCCTTCTTCCACTCTCATCGACCAATCAATGCCCAGATCAACCATGACCATTTGATATTAAGAGTAAGCTATGAACTATAAAATAATTTCTCACTGCCACTTTACAAACAGGCAGGTTTAGCAGCCATATTAATCTAATAGCCTCTCATAGCTGACTGGATAGTTTATGTCTGTTCTGAAAACTACAGAGGATCTATCTGAAGTGATAGCAGAGACAATGTTGTACTGTGTGCTGCTCTACATGACATAAAACAATAGATCTGACAAACAATGGTTTTGCTCCTGCACACAGAACACGAAATGAGAAAGCAAAGGGACAGGCGAGAGGCAATGCTGTAGCGCAGTGTGTGTGTGTGTGTATGTATGTGTGAGAGGCTGAGCCTGCTGGCCACACTGACATTAGGCAGATGGCTGTGAGCTCTGTTTACATTAGAGTTTCTGTTCAAGCAAATCCAGGCCTGGTTTGTGTGTGTGTGTGCGTGTGTGTGTGTGTGTGTGTGTGTGTGTGTGTGCGTGTGTGCATGTGTGAGTCAGCGTGCACGTGCAAATGGACGCTTTTAGTGTTTTGACTTTTGACATCAACGATAGTGTTACACCTATAGAGCAGTCAGTTTAACATGTTTAAACAAATAATACCTAAATGTAAAACAGGGTAAAACAGAGCAAAACAGAGTAAATCAAAAGGTAAAACAGGCAACTAAGCAACATTTTAAAGCATTTTATCTTCAGATAGATAGATAGATAGATAGATAGATAGATAGATGATACAATCCTTATGATACATATATATATATACACACACATATAAATGAAAACAATTAAAACTGAAAATACATAAAAAAGCTAATTCAAAATATGAATAAATACTATAATTCTAATATAATACTAAAATAACACTGGTCAATATTGGATATTTAATTGTTTTCCTCATTTTTAGTTTTTAGAATTAATAATAATTGATAAAAAATTTATAATTTAATAACACTGTTTTGTAATATTTAGCAACTCTCAAATGAATATACATTTTGCATACTGTACATTATAATGATGTTATACTTAAATTTACTTGAAGCATTTGAAATGATTGAGTTATTATTGTTTTATTTTTATGTATTTAGACATTAGAACAGAATGTTTATTTATTCTGTACAATAGTACAGAATTTTAACATTGGCGATTTATGTATTTATCAGCCATAACATGTAAATAATCTGTTTAATAAATTATTATTAAAGAATTCATCCCTAATATAATGAATTGTAAAGCCACTGTAATAAAAATGCATGACCTATCTTAGACAATAATTATCATCTGAATAATAATAATTAATAATAATAATAAAAATAAAAATATCTTCATAATCTGCAAGCCATAATAGATTCAAGAACATTTTAAAATCAAACAAAATATATTTGTTTGACATCAAAAATGTGCTGATTCTTTTGACTGACTATTGGTTATGATCAGTGTGTGTTATCAGCTGTGTGTTCATATCACAGGCAGGTCCTAATTGCTCGCTCTTCACCAGAGGGCGAGGTCAGTGGGTGTACACACACACACACACACACACACACACACACACACACACACACTTGGCCGTTCTGTTTGCGCAACTTGACACCTCTCTCCTTCACGCTCAAGATTTATTAGCAATAACCATCACAAGCACTGGGACACAGAGAGAGAGACACCGTTCACTCCTTTACGCTCTGTCAATCTTCTCCTCTGTCTCTTTTTCTTTGTCTTTCAACTCACAAATCATCAAATAAATATATTTTCCTGACTCCCTCGCAGCGTGTTCTCACACACCGGCTTCAAAAGTGACATATTCGCTGACACTGAGAACATCTCTTCCCTTAAAAGCCGATGTTAAGAGATCCTTTTTGTGTCTGCCAATTCTTGCAGTAAAAGTCAACAAGCGACGTGTAGAAACGGTCATAAAAATTATATTATGATTACTGCTCACTCTGAATGTCCATGGCAGTGTTTATTGCACAGCGTGGTGAGAAAGAGAGCATCTAAGGAATGTTCCGGGTGTAAAACGACTTAAGCTCTATGAACAGCATCTGCGGCATAATGTCCATTACCAAAGAATGTAATATAAGAGCTAATAAAATCTAACAAAAACAGTGTCTTCTTATACTGGAAGTCTATGGGCCGACACAATGTAATTATAAAAATGTGCAGCTTCTGTTGTTCAGTACAAGGTTTGTTATTTGAGCTGTAATGTTGTCAAAATTGTCTTTTCAGATGATTTGGAATGACTTTTATAGGTGGATGAACTAATGTGTAACTAAGGTAATTCCTGTGAGCATGCAAACCATGAGAAAACTAGGTTTAAACAGTCAAGGCATGAGTCATTTTTGGACTATTTTTATGAAGGTGCATTTTTGGATTTTGACAGCCCCCATCCCAAATCAGTTCCCAGGGTTTCTGGAGGTTTTATGAAACTTGACTTTTTAAAGACCTTTTAAGACCAAATAAAGAATATGGAAATAACTTTTACTGTACCTTCTGATCCCACAGTGTATTTTGTATTTTTGTCTTGTTTTCTTGCAATGTATAAAAATTCAAATGTATAAAAATTCATAAATTAAGACACATTTACTTGAGTAGCAAAATTACATGATATAAGTCTTGTTTTCAAAAAAAATTAAATGAAATGAATTTGTGATTATAACATGACCAAATATTTGCCAAATGGGTCAGAAAAATAAACTCGCTTCAATGGGGGAAGGGGGTGCCCAGGACCAGGGTTGAGAAACACTGCTCTAACTTTAACACTTTCTATTCTATTTTAATTCTGCTTTATATTTATCTTCTTTTTTTTTTTTAACAACAAAAAACAAACAAACACTAGCTTTCTTTTTTTCTATTCTATCTACTTGTTTTTCTTTGTGTGTGTGTGTGTACACCTTGCTACGTGTACTGCGTTAGGCTAGCCGAGACTTGTCATTTGCACTTATATATTGTTGCTCTTTTGTTAGTTTTGACTGCTTTTATTGTCCTCATTTGTAAGTCGCTTCTGCTAAATGACTAAATGTAAATGTAATGTAAATGTAAAACAATGTCATATCTTAATTTTGCTTATCAAGTAAATGTATCTTGATTTAAGGATGTTTATATATTTGTAATGGAAAACAAAGATAAAAATACTGCGTATAACATTCATTTTTTGAAGTGCATGCAATATTATTGCCATAAATTCATGAAGTTAAGACTTTTCAACTTTTAATGCCACAAATAAACTTAATTCAATGGGAAAAATACAAATATTGGCAGATTCTTTTTTTAAAGTACAAACTCACTTAATTTTGTTCAATTTCTCAGAAAACAATGTCATATCTTAATTTTGCCTATCAAGTAAATGTATCTTGATTTAAGGATGTTTATATATTTGTAATGGAAAACAAAGATAAAAATCTGCATATAACATTCATTTTTTGAAGTGCATGTAACATTAATGCCATAACTTTATAAATGTAAGACTTTCAGCTCTGATTTAACACCTACAGGTGCATCTTAATAAATTAGAACGTCGTGGAAAAGTTCATTTATTTGTTGAGATAGTGAATTGGTGGGTTTTTGTTAAATGTGAGCCAAAATCATCACAATTAAAAGAACCAAAGACTTAAACTACTTCAGTCTGTGTGCACTGAATTTATTTAATACACGAGTTTCACAATTTGAGTTGAATTACTGAAATAAATGAACTTTTCCACGACATTCTAATTTATTGAGATGCACCTGTATTAAGGCTGTAATTTGTGAAAGGGTGAATTAAGACTATTTTAAGACCTGCAGAAACCCTGATTTCAGAGATGAACAGTAGAATAATTGCTTTAAATTGTTTTATCCCAGAATGTTCTTTGTATTTTTTTCAGTGTTAGGCAATATGAAGACACAAACCAGGCAGATC